CAATCTTTACAGATCGATAAAAAATATCAAGACTACATTGACCGATTTACGAGAAAAAATTTGTGAGGTGGAGCATCAATTCGGTTCTGTGAATACTTTGCGAGAAAAATTGCGAGAGAAAGAAGAAAAGTACGGTGTGAATATCGAATTTATGTCGAAATTGAAGCAAAGTTGCGAGGTAAAAGTATATCTTCCATAGTTGTACGATTATAATTTAATCGAAATTCAGAATGTTTTCATGATGATGCATTCGTATATTGCAGAGTCACATTGCGCGAGTGAAGCATCGACAGAAGTTGTTTGTGGAGTTGAGGCAGTTATATGGTATTCATATACAGAAGTCTTTCAATGATGTACTTGCTCTAAGACAATATAAGGTAACTATAAATAAATGTTTCTCGTGCGTGCACATTGTATTAGTTTTCACTGCTAGAATATTTCTTAATTACTCCATCTTATTAGGGTATCATGACAATTGACCATAATAAGAAAGTGCTTGACCTGAATGTAAGCGCACGAGATGACAAAAACGCCGGCAATGACACAAGATCGCTCTCAGGAGGTGAACGATCGTACTCGACTGTCGCATTCATTTTGGCCATTTGGGATTGTGTTCAGCTACCCTTCTATTTCCTCGACGAATTTGATGTGTTTATGGTGAGTGTTCCCCACGTCTCTTGTATATTCCAAGATATATTCTTATACTCCGAAACTTAAGGAAAAGGGCAAGTGTCCAATTAAAAATATTTTCTAATTTGAGGATTTTCGCAACTAAAAACTGAGGAGAAATGAGCATTGATTTTATTTCATACAAACTGCAAATTTGATTCGCGCAAAATATCCAAGTATAACTTATTTTGCAGGACAAAGTGAATCGACGGGTGATTATGGATATACTGTTGGATCACACCAGGTTGCATCCGGAGAGCCAGTTTTGTTTCTTAACACCTTTAGACACGTCGCACATTCTTACTGAAGATTACGTAACGATTCATCAGTAAGTATTGAAGTATTCACTGTTTGCTATCGGAGGAATTTAATTACTACATTACTATCTCTTGAATGAATGTTTCTTTTCAGATTGCAACCACCGGAAAGAAGAGGACTAAGTCAGTAAATTCGTATTTTGTTTATCAATTTTGACATTATTTCATTCTGTTTCATGCGAAATCCAATAACCATATTTTGCCTTGTTTCTACTAAGAAATAAGATATTTATTTACGTTATATTGTTTTTTTAAACAAAGTTCTACATATTTATTTTTCATAATTTATAAGATGAAGGCAGATATCACACACAAAAGGCGTGTCTTGTTGTTAAATGTTACATGAAGATGGTGAAAGATATTTGCACTTCATATTACATATAGTATATAAATAGCCGTAAAATTGTTTGTAACAAAATTATTACTCAAAATCACCACGAAATAGGAATAGTATTAGCTCATGTTATTCGGTGTACATAAGAGAGCAAAAACTTAGTATGCCAAATATGAAGAGGAAAAGTGCCTTGATTTTTATCTGTTACCAAATGCAAAACAGTACATATTTTTTCTTAATAATAAAATGCAAGCACCAAATGTCGACCGTCAACGTGCTTCAATAACCTACTGGAAATTTGCTTCCTGAACTTCCAAATCCTGTCGTCTCCAGACTAGTCTCGGCACGAAGCGATCCACCTCCATATCCACAGGTAAATTCTCGCAATGACCGACCGTACAGTCCGACATCCTGATCCTCATTGTAAATCATGTTTTCCAGTAGCAACGCTCGCGTCGAAGGATTGGCGAGCAACTTCTCTCTTTTTCTCCGTCCTTCCTTTTTCCCTGGGTCGATTCATCGGGAACAGAACCGTGATCCAGAATGGTTGGACGTGAGCGACGAACCAAGATACATGTATACACACACGGTGTGTGCGGTCTACGTCGAACTGGTAAGTGGATCAAGGTTCGCGGTATTGCGCGAATCTGGTCCGGAGTTCCTGGCTTTAACGCAACGCCATTACACTTATTACATGCGATGCGCGTGAGAGACGGCCGGCCGGCACACAGTGCGTGTTGTTCGGGTGGACGGGGCGTGGTAGCGGCGTTGTGCAATCCGCGCACATGAGTATGTTGGCACTGTCGGAGAAAGTGCCCAAGGAACGCTCGTGAATCGCTAATGGGCCGCCCCGGCGAGGTGGGATAATAGCGAGCAGGTAGTGTCTGACCCAATTTCCGTAATTGGGTCCGGCCAAATTCGATGTTTCCTCGATGACTTGTGCTCCGGCGGCTCTATACGAATTAGTCTACGATCGAATCAGAAAATTGAGTAATGTATTATGTGATACCGCTCATACATATGTATTTATGAATATCATAATTCAATATTAAAAATGATATCGATCGTATTACAAACCGATAATGCCATTTCGACGAATCTATTTTAACAGAAAAAAAGCCGAGATAGTCATGTTTTTCGCTTCTCGCTGCTCTTGAAACTTGCGGAGTACCAGACAATAACTATAACGATTAGAAGGAGGCTGCACAACTGCGAGAATGGAAAACCGTTTTGTGCGAGGATAACGAGAACCATCTCGAAATTTCATTCATCTTGGTTCAATCAACCATCATACCGCAGAAATGTGTTGAAGGTGGGCGAAGGTAATCTCACACGATTGATGTACTTGCTAAGAAAAATGAGATTTATTCAATAAACATGATTCCTAAGTAGTGATCCGGTCAGTTCAGTGAACGTAGGCAGGGGCGGCAGCGTAGGCAGGGGCGGCGGCGTAGGCGACGGGGGCTGCGACCTTGGCGAATGGTGTGGCGTACGCGACGGGAGCGGCGACCTTGGCGATCGGCGCGGCGTAAGCGACCGGAGCGGCTGCGAACTTAGCTACGGGGGCGGCGTAGGCGAGGGGTGCGTGAGCTACCGGGGTGGCGAACTTAGCTACCGGTGCGGCGTAAGCGAGAGGAGCCGGTGCGACGTGAGCGACGGGAGCGGCGGCGACGGCCTTCACGGCGACGGCGGCGGGTTCCTTGCGGACTACGGCGTTGAATCCGTTGACGGGGTCGGCGGTGTAGTCAACGATGCGCCTGGTGCCGTCGGCTTCCAGGAGGGAGTAGCTGCCTTGGACGATGTCGCCGTCACGGATCTCCTGTTGGCTCTTAGCGTCACCGGTCAAGCTGTCGTGCACGTCGTAAGCGTAGCTGTACTGAGGGTGCGGGTCGAAGTCAGCGTCGACCGCTTTGGCCACGGCGACGGGAGCCGCGGCATATGCCAAAGGAGCGGCAGGAGCAATCACACCGGCGTTGGCGGCGGCGATCAGGGTGGCGAGGGCGATGAGCTGCAAAGGCAAGAGTGATACTGTTAGTAGATATTAAGTCGAATATATATAAAAAAAATCATATAGCAAAGAACGCAAATTGTGAGATAACGATAGGTTGTCTTGATTAGACTTGAAGTGAAATTAATTTCGTTGGATTTTCAGCTCAGAGTGCGAACGATGATTAGTCCGAAATGCGAAGGCACGAGGCAGTTCGCGAATAAAGTTTGCTTCAACGAACGTGCCGAGTTTACCGAGTGCGCGTCTACTTGCACGCGCTCTACTTTCGAGCGGTTGTCTGCCGTTAATTGCGCCGTTTTTCGACCGATTAACAAGGTATATAATATCGCAGAGAACGATAACGTGTGGCTTCCAAACCGGATGAGCGCACTAGCCCGCAATTACCCGTCGAATTATCGTAATCCATAATTAACCGAACATCGTCGTCGTCGTCGTCATACGATTTCAAGCGATTTCAAGGCGGAGAGATATACAGCCGGTACTCTGAGAGTCGCAATACCTTGAAGGCCATGGTTGCGCTTGGTTGATCGGTAGTTCGCTCGATCTTCGAGTCTGTGATGCGAATGATACCGGTGGATCGGCGGTTTTCGGCTTATATACCGCCGAACCGGGGACTACCAAGAGGCCCACACCACGCCGCCAGGCACCACCACACGCCAGGGCGTATGTCACTGACGTAACTGGGTGACGGTACCTTCGACGGTCACCCAATTCGCGGCCACGTACCGAGCAGTGCGAAATTGAGCAAGAAATCGGACCACGCCCAACGACGAGCCGAAGCCGGGTTCGAACCCCGAGACAACGAGCACCGTGCCGATCGTCGTCGTCGGGGACTAGGCCACGTCCTTGCCACGAGTTACCTAATCCTCCCCCGCTCGCTCCATCGAGGGTTCCACGGAACGCTTGTTTTCTCAGTCTCACTCGGTCTTACACATTTCCCCCTTATTTCTTCTCTCTTTCTCTCTCTTACAGCCTTTTAATTAAAGAGTTTATACGTGAATGAGATTGCGAGAATATCATATTCTCAAGATGATTCTCTCTCTCAAAAAAAGATTTTTCGCGTTTCTATACAAGACGAGGTTCTTTTGTATGTCGTGTGAAAGGTATGACGGTTATTTCGAGTTCGATAAGATGTTCAGGTGCCTTTTCATTAGGCGGTTACATCATCACTCGATATAATCAAACGCTCTTCGCGAGAATGTTCTCTTTATATTAGACGATTACATTACTACATCTGCACCAGAGCCCATGAGAGACACGACGTGACTTTCTTTTCTTCTCGCTCTGTAAAGTCTCCCCAGATCTATCAACACTCCGCGCGTGTCGTATGGACACGCGCTCATCTGTCACTTGATCCTCCTGACAGATTTTTCTGAACTTGTCTTCTCGGCCACGGTGACTTTAATGCCGCGCGTTTGATAATCCTGTACTACACCCGCCCGCCCGCCTGTCCTGAGTATTACAATCTACATTGAAGGTTTCTCTTGCGCGATGCTATTTTTTATCTTGTCGTCTCTCCACTTGAGAAACGCTGTGAATTTGGCGTATCCACGCACGATCTCTTTGTGAGATAATTTTTTAATGCGCGAACGCACGCTCGCGCAAATTCCCGCTTGCTTCCCAATGTTCATGTGTCAAGTGCTAAGCTCTACCCTTGTAACGCGGAATGCAGCCTAATCGACGCGACAAGTTGCACAGCGCTGTGCAATAAAGCATTACACGACGCTACTTGCATCAAATTGCGTGAGCCTTCGCTCGTACGTTCGCGATTCGTATGTATACGAGCGTGTGTGTACGCGTCTCGGTGCAAGAGTCGATCGACACCTAACGAGAACTTAATGGATACGTGGGTAGGTTGCTGGCCGGCCAGATACTCAAACTCTGACAATTATGCGAGCCGTTTCGAAACGTTGTTTCGTGTAATTTTACGTCTGATGGAGATCTCCCGTGAGGTATCAGTTGATCGCGCGAGCCTGATAAGAGAGCGCGCTTGATTCAGGAATAATGATAATCTCAAGTAAAATTTGGGTCGGGCCGAGAGAACATGGGGGAAGGAAATTTCTACAATTAAATCGCCCGCGACGAAACTCACAAAGTTATTTCTCGATGTCGAAACGAACGAGAGACAAAGTGCGCGAATAAGATACTCGCGCTTATTAAAGGGAGAAACTTCATAGTCGATTTTCGCTCGCGCGCAAATGAAAGATGGTCGTTCTGATTGTAAAGCATGGTATTTTGTTGCAGAGTGCGAAGGCCACGGCGCAGCTCGACTGCGAATTAAAACCCGCGACTTGTCTCGCGCGTAATTGATACCGCGGGCGGTTCCGGGACGAACGCGTTTTCCCCAGGAGAGAAGAACAACGAGCGATCCCGGGACAATTTCAATTTCTTAACGTCCGGGTCATCGGGAACGTGATTTGCCGCCGGTCACCGCCGTGTCGGACTTCCTGTCGCGACCTTCAATCTTTCCATAATTGGCCGAATCAAAGCCGACGGGTTTTTGCGCCAAGAAAAAAGAAAGGTGACGAAGAGGACGAGGCTGCGAAGGAGTCACTTGCAGTCTGTACATCGCAAATTGTCCACCGTATGTCGAACGGACGCGTCTTGTCATATTGGAAGAAGCACGACGGCATTATTATTATTGCGGCCTATTTGAATCGTTGACTGCATTCCTGACGGCCCTACGACCGGTAAATTGCACGAAATTACGGTGACATTGGACAGTCCAGTTGCGCTGACGGAATTAAATTTCTTAATAAGTATCTCTCGTCGCGAACGACGAGTCTCAGCAGATAAAAGTATACATAATCGAGATACTTATTCGAACAATCAAGATTTAATTGGGGTGTAGCGCCATTTTGGGCACGCGAGAGAAACGAAAGCTCCTCTGCTGAAATTTTGCAGTTTTCACATATGGTGCGGCACTCCTCCGTTATCATGAAGATATCTTACGGAGGAGGACGACAAAAACCGCGACAATGATCAGCGAAATCTCGATCGCCGATCAGCGGCCTGCCCGATAATGCCCGCGGGCCCCGCGCGATCAATCGAGGTGGGCCTCGACGCGCGAAATTCAGGCGGCCCACCTATTTCTTCTTTATGAAAGTGCTCCACTTCTCTCTTTCTCTCTCTTCCCTCCCCTCTCTTTCTCTCTCTCTGTCTGTCTGTCTGTCTGCGACCATCGGCGCGGGCCCCGCCGACGATGTTAGATATGATTACGCAATGGCGACGCGTATCCCGTCCGGGACACGACACATTCGACACGGCGACACGTATATCGAAACGCCTCGAAAGTTTTGCGACAACAGCAACGACGACGACGACGAAGGAGAAGGAGGAAGAAGTGGCTGAACGATTCTTGTTTCCTCAGCTAACGCGCTGCTCTCGCGAGAGGAAGAAAGAAAAAGAGATCGTTTTTTGACACGAGGCATCGTCTCTCGCACGTGCGAAGATGCTGGATGTCCTAGAATGTCTAGAGAAAGAAAGAGAGAGAGAGAAAGAATTGTAAATTTATGCTACATACTATGTCGGCAATATCGTAGCAAGGTTTGCCATTTTATTAATGTCGATAAAAACAAAACGAGCACGCCATGTTCTCGTCGCAATAATTTCTCGATTTTTACTGTACTTTTGCCGTTATGCTATGCCAAACATAACATGCTGACAAAAATTAAGCTTAATGAGGACGCAGTTGAGCGGAATCAGCTGTAAAGTCATGATTGAGTTTGCCATTATATTGCTAACGTTTTGCTATCTGGATACAGATCCATTTTTCACGTAGAAACATTCGTAACTTGAAGGACAAGCTTCTTGTTAGACGAGATCGGACTGAGAGCCATCGAGATGTTTCATAAAAATATCAAGAAAATGTATTGTCGCTGCGCCATTTTTGCAAAGACCATTAAAGCCGTATTCTAAAAATAAATCTATAACTCGTGTATCCGGATAAATCTACATCGTCTAGACAAGCCAAGACGATTTAATCTTTATCTCGATCGCTCACGGTCGTTCTTTTTTTGGACTATGTCTAATGGTACAAATCGCTTTCAGCTAATTCAGCGACAGAGATCTATACTATAATCATCTAATCGACGATCCGCAATCGTTATCGTGAAAAATCATCGATTCACGCAAGAGTCGCACACGAAAAACATTCGGCGTGGTCAGTAATGTACATAGAACGACACGCGAGAGTATTGCACAACGACACGAAGCGATTGTGCCAATAGGCGAGAAAACTGACTGAAGATTTTATTAGGATACCGATAAATGAACGAGAAATTAAAAAGAAGTGTAAAAGTAAGAAGAAGTACAACATACACAGATAGGACAGAGAATTCAAAAAGAATTTAAAAAGAATTCAGTCGTATGTCACCAATTCTGAGTTCGTTTTTAGATGCAAAAAGAATTCTTCAAAGTTCAATTCAGTGAAAAAAATTCTTTTTGCATCTAAAAATAAATTCAGAATTAGTGACATACGACAGAATTCTTTTTGAATTCTCTATGCTATCTGGATAGTGATTTTTACGCTTTGCATCTTCCTGTTATCTTTTGTCCCCTTTATGCATTGAATCTTGGCGCGAAAAAAGTTGATCGTGCAGCTATTCTTTGCACTGAAATATCGAGTTATTTTTAGGTACTTCCGCCTCGGAGAGCCACCGTTCTCGCCACCTTTGAATAGGTCCTTCTAATCGGCCGCGAGAATTAAAAGACAGGGTGCGCGATCGCGATCGGCGGCCAAGTTCAAGTGCGTCCGGTCGACCGGTCGCGGATGTCAACGACGGCGAACTTTCGAAGTTTCAAGCCGGGACCGACGGTGGGGACCCACCGGTGGTGGCTGGGCCATTGGGTATATAAAGCGGCTGCGATCAACACCGAACATCATCAGTCTCGCTTTGGTAGATCCAAAACCAACCAAATCTACTCAACAATGGCATTCAAGGTGAGTAGAAGATCGTCACGAGGCTGTCGTAGACTGTACACGAGGTCTTATCGAACTTCTCTCGAGTCTGTCGACATTACTGTTCTGAATTTCCGAATAATACAATTGGAAACTTCGAGCTTATCGAAGATCGAGAAAAAAAATTCTTGACTCATTCACTTTCTCTTTCAGTTCGTCGCTTTTGCCGCCCTCGTGGCCGCCGCCAACGCCGGTGTGCTCGCCCCTGCCGCCCCTCTGGCGTACGCCACGGCTCCTCTCGCCGTAGCCCCCGTCGCCAAGGCTGTGGTGGCCAAGGCGGTCGACGCTGACTACGACCCGCACCCTCAGTACAGCTACGCCTACGACGTGCACGACAGCTTGACCGGTGACGCCAAGAGCCAGCAGGAGACCCGTGACGGCGACATCGTCCAAGGCAGCTACTCCCTCCTGGAAGCCGACGGCACCAGGCGTACCGTCGACTACACCGCTGACCCAGTCAACGGATTCAACGCCGTAGTCCGCAAGGAACCCGCCGCCGTCGCCGTGAAGGCCGTCGCCGCTCACGTCGCACCGGCTCCTCTCGCATACGCCGCTCCCATCGCCAAGATCGCCACTCCGGTCGCCAAAATCGCCCCCATCAGCTACGCCGCTCCCGTCAGCTACGCCGCTCCCGTCAGCTACGCCGCTCCCGTAGCCAAGCTGGCCACCCCAGTCGCCGCGCCGATCAGCTACGCCGCTCCCGTAGCTAAGATCGCCGCCCCTGTGGCCTACGCCGCCCACCCTGCACCTGTCGCCTACGCCGCACACCCAGCGCCCGTCGCCTACGCCGCGCACTCTGCACCCGTCGCATACGCCGCGCACCCCGCACCGGTCGCCTATGCCGCGCACGCCGCTCCCGTAGCGTACGCCGCGCACGCCGCTCCCGTAGCGTACGCCGCACACGCAGCCCCCATCGCCAAGATCGCCGCTGCGCCAGCCATCTCCTACGCCGCCCCCGCCGCCTACATCCACTAAACTCGTCGTCGTCCGCGCCATCCTCCATGTCGTCGACTCAGGCCGAACTTTTTATTTATTTTTATAGCAGACCTTTTTCTATGTGACTGATTAAAGTGAGTTACATAATGTAACAGTTGGGACTACTGATTTGCGCGAAGCCACCTCTCAGTCCGCTTCCCGTTGCCGTACTATTAGACATGCTACTAAAATGCCTTGGCGTTTTTACGCAGAAGCCGCACGAGATGATACGAATTGCGGATGCATTGAGAAAAATATACTGAACATTTATTTGTGGGAAAGTTTATTTCTGCGAGATATAAAGTTTATGTCTCTCTGAAATAAACTCTTATCTCTCTCTCTCTCTCTCACAAATAAGTTTTTAATTATTCTTTTCTCAGTGTGTAATACACTCGCGGATGCTACGCGTTGTTACCAATTGTTACTATGAACGCGATAACGAAAGCGAACGTTAGGTCAAATAAGCAGTTGATGAAAGTCATTTTCTTCTATCAGCTGCTGCATGATATAAATCGACGTAACCGCGTGGATTGATTATTATTCACGAGCGCGTCACCGTGTGGCTTTCTAGAAGAAGAAAGGCGAGCGAGAGAAACGTTTAGAGCGATCGAATCTAGACTTCGAGAGCGATTACTACACATGTGATGGATGTGCTAATCACGTACGTTATATGCGACAATCCGGCGTGCCGTTGCAGCTCGTATTGTTCCGTGTCGTCGTGCTGATGTAAATTTACGGCGATGTCGAAAGAGCTCTCGATATCGTTCGCGCCGAATCCGCTTAGTTTTCGTTGCTACGTGTTCGACATCGCCGACGCACCCGCGACGTCGCTGTTCCTCCGTCGCGTTTCACCGCGCTGCGTTTATGATACGTGACGTTAAAAGCGATTCGCGCATTGTGGGATGTTTTCAAGTTGAAAGTAGAAATCCGCGAGTGCGTGAGCAGAACGCAAAGGACGGATTGTGATCCGCGGCTCTTCGCGCTTGCAGCTCTCTGCGAGAATCTAACGAAACTGTCTCGAGAAAACTGGGGCTGTCAAATTGTTGGTGGTAAACGCCCTTCAGTTCCGCCATCTCCGATTTTGTCGGGGTTGTCACGATTTTGTGCGACAGAGATAAAGCACTGTGTCTCGCGCTGTCGCCTCGCACTCGACGTGAAATCTCTCGATCCCGGCCGGATCTCCCAGCCGGCGTGCCCTTGGCGCACGGGGTAAACTTTCGTGCGTAACACCGTGGCGTCAGGTGTCACGTTATTTCGGGCGTTCCGCCCAGAAGAATTGACCCACTTTCTCCGCTTTTCGCTCGTCCTTTCTCGAGCACCTCCCCGGGGTCGCACGCAAGGATCGCGGCGATTCTCCGCTTTTGTTCGCCGCGCCCGGTCGGGGGACCGATTGCAAAAGCGTTGCATCGCTCAAGGGTCGAGCATGACAATGGAAAAACACCAACTTTGCGCGAAGTCGCCCGTCACATTCCACGGACCGATGACTCGGGCGCGTCACCGTCCGCGGATTTCGCTCATCCAACTTTCGTCCTGTTAATCGAGCCGAACATTTCGATGAGAATCACAACGGACTTTTTCTCGACATACGTATTGTAAATGTAAAGTTAATTATCGTGACAAAGTCCGTATTATAAAAATACTTATTATATAATTGACACAAGTGACTACCGATTTCTGTAACGTCTCTCTTTCTCTGTTTGAAGCTGAACGTCTCATTGAAATTCTGTACATTATTTTACTATTACTGTACTATTACTTTATATTCGTCTAATCGACTTCTAATTAACACATTGTTGACCGATTGGTTTTTAATATTGTCCAACCGTTATTCCGATCATTGTTAACATATAAAGTGATTCGTGAGCCAACAATGTATCAGCAAAATGCCAGTTTCCTCACGATCGATCAACAATGTATGAAGATGTTCATTGCATATACTAGGCTGATCGTTTATTCACGTCGCCGTCGTTTTCCGTTTCCTCTAGTGTTTCTCAAATAAGAGTCAGGACACCGCGTAACGATTCTCGATTGGATGGGACTCTATCGCCCATTAATAAGGAAGAAGCCAATAGGAATAAGGAAGAAGAACCTCTTCCAGATAGCACAGAGAATTAAAAAAGAATTAAAAAAGGATTCAGTCGTATGTCATCAATTCTAAGTTCATTTTCAGATGCAAAAAGAATTCTTCAGAGTTCAGTTCAGTGGGAAGAATTCTTTTTGCGTCTAAAAATGAACTCAGAATCGGTACGACTGGATTCTTTTTTAATTCTCTGTGCTACCTGGGCTAAGACTGAAATGACAAAAGGCAGCTTCTTTCTTACTCACTCGCTTCTTTCTTGTAAATAACGGACAATGTCTTAACTATTATTTGAGGAACTCTAGTTTTCTCGAAAAATCGCGGGAACGGTATCTCGCGCGAGTAACGTGTAGAGAGAAACGTGTAGGAAGAAGAATTACGTGTACGCGCGCCACCGAATTCGAGCTGGCTCGCTCGCGGGCTCGAATCCATTTGCCGACGAGGGAGAAAGGCGCCCAAATTCCAGGTCTCGATTTAAACGATGCTGTTGCGCAACAGGTAGAACCGCTCGCGCTTTTCGGGAAGCGCGTGCATGCGCTTGTCCGTGCTGTACTCGGCGGCCGGGCGGGCGATTCCGTGGAAACAATTAGCGACGGATTGCGTGTACGCCGGAGCGACGTCGGTCTTTAATAATAAAGGCTTTGATGCGAAAGTTGCTGTCGCTCGCATACATTATCGCGATACTTGTATCATTATCTTATTAATCCATTAAAGGCCATACCATTATTTCACAAACATTCTCAATCAGTCTATTGATACTTGCTGATTCCAGATCAGAATTCAAGCTGTTTCTATCGAGAACATAGACATAATTGCAGCGACACTTTAAAACAAAAGAACCAAATTGCACGTTGATTATGTAATTTTGTTCAATGAAACAAAAGAATCTCATAGATGGGAGTAATGGAACACTGGCCATTAATGGTTTAACGATGTTCAGAGCCGCTTTGTCTTCACTTGGCCATATTGACGCGACACAGATCATTCCTATAAGATATATAATCTAGGCCGAGAATAACGATTTGAATATTTTAACATTTCTATTTGCAGAGTCTTCGCGACTAAGAAGAAGCGAGCAGTCGGTCGGCCAAAGTTAAACGACGTCGGAGGAAAAGCATCCGGTTGGCGATGCAAATTCGAGGGCGCGATCGCGTTACGGAACGCACTAACGAGAGAGGTAACGCGGGCCTCCGTACAACGCGCAACCTTCCTCACGGCGACTTTGGCATGGCCGCCAATTAATATTCATCGACCCGGCCCGATCTTGCTCTCACCTCGTATCTCAAATGATCTTCGGGAGTTCTCGTTAGTGCGGTAAGTTGCTCGCGCCGCGAGGATAAGCCAATTATAAGTCCATGCGGGCGCTTGCATGCGCGCGCGAGAGAGGTGTAATATGTGTGTACGCACGTGGAAGACAAAGCGACTTTCAAAAGTGAAAGATATCGCGCGCACGACGATACCGCGAAGAAAAGTCGCGCGATTGCACAATCGTCATTTCGTATCGCGATAGAGTCTTCGATGAAAGTGCAAGTGCGTCAAGTTGACCCAGCCAGAAAGGATTCGTCGGGACGACATCGTTTCGACGTCGCTAATGACTTGTTTGCTCAATATTTTATATGTATATGAAACGATTTCGTAATATCTCAAGGTCCTCCGTTGAAAAATCGACAATCTCATGCCACCAATCTTCCTTTATTAAGGAGGTATTCTAGTGTGAAGACCCGTTTTCAAGGTGATTTTTGGGAATTAATTTTAAGCGAATGGTTAAACCTACAGAGCTAATGTTTTGTACTGATATTTATTCATCTTTGAAGGATCATCTCAAATTTTGTTAAAGCTTTTTATGTAAAATTGGAGAAAATACAAGTGGACGAAACAAATGGAAGACGGTGTGACCTGTTTCGTTCACTTGTATTTTCTCCAATTTTGAATAAAAAGCTTTGACAAAATTTCAGAAATTTCTTCAAAGATGAATAAATGTCAGTACAAAACATTAACTCTGTGGGTTTAACCATTTGCTTAAAATTAATTCTTAAAAATCACTTTGAAAACGGGTCTTCACATACTAGAATATCCCCTTAATAATAAAAACTCTATGTGGTTATTTGCAAAATGGCAGAGGACTTTTTTGTTCAGTTTAACCCAATATATAAGCATACACGACGGCAGACGTCACAATCACAACTGATTTGTCTTTGATTAATAACTTAAAATTTGAGTTGTTGGAATTTTGAAAATTTAAATTTATAGTTGTTTGCGAAATGATAGAGGAATTTTGCGTTCGGTTTAATGAGTTCTACACCTGTATAGTCTGCGGCTGCATAACGATTTGTCGAATATTTTATACACGCGACTTCTTGTTGTTCAGAAATACTAAAATTTCGATGCAAATTCCGGATTGATATCTTTCGATATTAACGATGACGTTTCGACGAATTATTTTCAGCTAGAGATACAATGCGCATTCGAAACGTTCGGGATTCGCTTCAGTCAACGCGCCGCGATGCTCCCAACACTTATCTCGCTGAATATCGTCGCGATTAATTTGATCTCGCGACATAATCTTTCATTTCGCCCAGTGATAAATTATCAACAACGCTCGCAACTCTCGCCCTTCACGAGCGCGCCATGCGTCTCCTCTTCCTCTGCACGCATTTTTCATCGTTCTCGCCGACGTAATGTTTTATTTTAATGTTGCTCACATACCATTAATGAACCACGGATCGCCTTGGCCCTAGCTCGATCCTTTCCTCATTTACATACACTTTGAAACGCGCTTGTGCATCGGACACGGTGCAACGATGAGAAATTACGCGGTCAAAGAGAGGATTCCTGATGGATGCAACATTGAATTTTACCTCTCGCCCGCAGCTCGCGCGCGAATCCCACCGCCGATAAATTATGAGATGCGAGGGCCCGACTGACAGCGATAATTTTTCGATGTTCTTCGTTCCCCGGGATTCGATCGGCGCGTGATGTTGCTGTTCAATCGCTTGTACATGTCGCGCGCGCGCAATATTCAACCGACCCCTTTTCGCTTTTGCCGGTGACCTTGATTCGCACTCGAGCCTGGACAAATAATAACAAAAAGAGCGCGCGACCTTAATCGGTAAATTCGGATATTTCGTC